CCGGCCTCAGCAGGCCCCGCCCCCGCCGCGGGCCCCGCCCCTCCCCGGCAGTCCCGGGAGGCGAGATAAATGCGGAGCCGGCCGCGGACGCCCGAGGAGCAGGAAGGGGTCGGCGGAGCACGCGAGACGCCGGGTGGCAGTGCCGCCCACAGCTCGCCCTCCGGCCGGCGCACCCTTTATTTTCTCTTAAAGAAATGTTTAAAGAGGAGGAGAGGGAAACGGAGACTCTCCGGCCAGAGGACCACAACTACCACCCATTACCACCCCCACCCCCAGAAAATACTCAGGCAAATGACGAAGCGGCTAGTGACAAAGGCGGTGGCGAGTGCAGCGCGCGCACGGCCCGCTGAGTCGCGAGACCGCAAATATGACAAGCATCTGAGCTATTCGTCAACTAGGGGCCGATCAGCAGGGCGGGCAGGGTCCCTGCGGGGTGCAAGGGGTAAAGATGCGACCCCGAGGCGCTGCGCCCACGCTGCCCTCGGCGTCTCTGGGGCAGGCATCAGCGGCAGGACGTTCCCCCGAAGTCCCGTCTCGGGACGCACGAGTGGCCCACAGAGACGTCCGAATGGCAGGATGGGGGCTCCTGCTGGTGGCGGGGACAGAGAAAGCCCCTTGCAAGCGCGGTGGCCCTGGCCGGACGCTCGAAACGGGTCACCAAGTCAGCAGTACTTTCGGAATCGGACAGAACCGAGTTGCATCCTTCGTGGCAGGCTGAGGCGCGGTGCAGACCCGGCAGCCGGCCAGAGGGAAGCCAGGCTTGGAGACGCAGGGGTTCGGAGGTGCTGTGCTCTGCCCACAAGTTTCACGTTGATAGCCTTTCCCCTCCCCTTAAGGAAAGCTTATTCTTTGTACTACTTACATTTAGCAGGGAAATCTATACTACCTGGGAGAAGGCTGTGTACACCTAAGTGGTGCGAATATAACAGTATCAGGAAAAGTGGCCAGAGAGGCAGCTCTACTGGAAAATTAATGATTATTTTAAAAAATTACATGCGCATTCAGTGTAAAGACGTTAAAGAAGTAATTCAGGAGCCTTAAAATTTTGGCTGCCACCCCACTCATTATTATTGCAGATCACGTTGGTGTTTAATGGTCCACTATCGTAGTTGTATTTAAGGATAATAAAGCTTTAAGACCTAACATAAAGGTGATTATAAGTCGTTAACATCAAGACAAATTTAGACCTATTCAAACTGTTCCGTAATGATTTGTTGTTAATCAAATTGATGATCTTATCAAAATTAAACAGGCTAAAATGTTGGTAGATGAGACAATATATCTTATCTTTAAGGAGAATGGGAAAGATTTTTACTGGACCCTCAGTAAAATTAAAATTTTATACAGATGTTTAAGTATAACCAATGTCAAAAGCTAATTATTTGTGGATATCTTTGGAAAGTTTCATTATAATGGCGTTCAAAATTAGATATCAGGGAAGTAGTGCTCAAAGGCCCTCTGTAGGTCTTGTTCAGTTTGTGCCTGAGTGGCATAACATTCAAACATTTTGCTATGAAGCCAAGGTATTTTTCATTTCCAGAGGTCTGCATTTTAGAAACGAAGCTAACTTATAAGTTTCCTAACCAACCCACTCACTTATACTTTCAGTGCTCACTTTAAGGAAATGTCATTGAAATAGAAGCTGCAATAATCTCTTCTGTGATATCTTGTAGCAGAGGCCTGAGGCATTAGCTCTGTTGAATTTAAAATGAATTTAAACTTTTTCATGAATTGAAGTTAGCAGAAAATTAGACTTGCAGAATTTTTGTTACACTTGGATATTTTCTAGCAAATGAATTACCAAATGCAATGTTACTGTACGAAAGAAAAGAACTAAAATCAAAGTGACAATTTTTATGTCTCCAGAGTAGACACGATTCTGCTAAAGTCCATATTCTGTGCGTGCTCAGTAAAGGCTTGAGATCTCAGGAGAGCAACCTGAGTTTTTGGGTGAAATGGTTTTCACCTCTTTATACTTTGGAAGATTGTAACAGCTTATCAATGCACACACTATACACAACTCCCACTCCCCCACTTTTAGAATCTGGCATCTTTGACCAAGAAGTCAAAGTGTGAAGTGGCAGCTTCAACAGCTGCCAATGTGGTCCAACACCAGGTGGTTACCCACCCCCTCTGCCCCTCCCCAAGGCTGAGTCACACACAGGACAGCACAGCAATCCTTGCCCAGCCCTGGAAACTCAAGTCTATGAAGGATAAGAAAAGGATCTCCCTGCACTTTTGAAGTCAACTCCCTTCAATGTGCAATGGCATGAAAAAAACATTATTATTTACTCCTAGGAAATGAACAAGAAATACTCAGTGAACATGTAAGTTTGGTTTTCACTCTTTGGGTCATTTAAAAGCCCATTTAAAATAATGTTACCCTCAGGGCCTCATCTAGAATTTAGAGTTTCTCCCTCTCAATTTCACATAACATACTTATAACTTCAGAACAGTATTAAGAAATTAGACCAGTCATCCCATTTAACTATCAGGAACATACCTTTTTAAGGAGAAAAAAAAATTATATTTTATAAATATAGAGTTGTGATGGTAAATTTTAAAAAATGCTCATGAGTTTAATTTCAGAGAGGTACTCCGCACCACTTTGTAGTTCTGGGTTCTAGTTTACACTTTTCTGCTCTTTTGAAAGTTTCTGTGCCCTCACATCTTGCAGACTAGTATACTACTGCACTAACTGAAGGCTGCTTTTAGCACTTAATTGGCATTTAACAAAAGGACACACTGGATGTATAAACTGAGAAACAGAGACTTTAAAACAGGTTTCATACTTCACTCAATTTAATTTTTCTTTTGCCTTCATTATATTTTATCTTTCAGTTTCCATCTGAAGCACTAGTAATAATCATCTATTTATATACTTTGCCAATATTGGTCTTAGTTTTATGGCCAAAAAATATAAATATTTCAATTATTAAACAAATTGTATAGAGCCAGCTGGGCTAAATAATGTTTTTGTGGAAAATACAGCTATCCTAACTCTGGTCTTCCCATTCAGATAACTGAAAACCTGGAATAAATCTTCATTCTACCAAAGGAGCAAGTTAATTCATCTACTTCTGTAAACTTTTCTACATATCTTCTTCCACCTACTTGTCAGACTTTTTTTCCCCCTGCTCCTCCCTGAAGTCACAATTCACACAGGTAGAACTACAACTCCAGTGAAGGGCTCCTTTTGCAAAGATTTCTACATTGTTACTGAACTGCTTTGCAAAGACTATCCCTTATGTTCCAAAGGAGGTTTCATTCTTCTGTGAGACATACCTTCTTCTCTTTTAAAAATCTGAAAATATTTAAATCTTAATTTGGAACATAACCTTAATGACAATATTCAAAGAAAATACTTTAAAAACCATTTTCTTTTTTTCTAGCACTTTTGATCAGCCCCTTCTAACCATTAGTAGAGAAGAGGGCTTCTGTATACCATTAGCTTCCTTCCTATTCCATTAGCTACTAATTTCCATTGAAATCTTCAAAACTTTTGTGAGGTTCACCAAAATGTGAAGACCTTTCTTGGTGACTCTGACAACTACAGTGTTCCCTTCTTGCTGGGACACTACTCTGCTAAGACTGGTGGTTACTTCTCAGACACATCTTCCCTTCATCCTCTGTTGTCTATAAACCATCCACCATTCTTGAGGAGTTCATACTCTTCAAGATTACCACAGAAAGTTTCAATGAACGTTAGAAATTGTGCAGCCTTCAGACCTTTCTTGTCCCTAGGAACCAACTTGGTGAGATGAAGAGTCCTTGACTAGGAGTTTGAAGATCTTGTACAAATCAATTACTTAACTATGATTAACCTATGCCTTTTCAGTTTCTTAATCTACTGTG